GGACAGACGTCGCACTGTAAGGGAAATAAGTGATATTTTAGGTTTAAAAACGGACTATGGTACATGAAATAATGACAAATGAACTAAACATGTCCAAAGTGTGCGCAAGGTGGGTACCACGATTGTTGAAAACAGAGGAAATGGCAGAGCGGGTGGATGCGTCATCGGAGTTTTTAAGATTTAACGGTACCGAGGGCATTTCGTTTCTACCGAATATTATTACCAACGGATGAAACTTTGGCTGCATCTATATGAGCCAGAATCAAAGAGGGATTCAATGATATGGAAAACACCAATATCCCCAGCACCAGTGAAAGCTAAACAAAATAAATCTGCAAAGAAGTTTATGTTCATCTTCTTTATGGACTCCGAAGGGATGTTGCTCCAGCACGCCGTACCAAGCAATCAAACAGTCAACGCATTATATTACCAGAAGGTAAATATTAAGCATGAAATAATAATATCAATTATTAAAGTAAATTAATTCATATTTTAAACATATTAAAATTTAAGACAATATATATAGCATGTGCGCTTTATTTAGATGGCTTATAAACGAATACAGAGGCAATGATCAACTTTAACGGACTTTCATTTTATTCCAGGTTATCCGCCGTGATCTTATTCTCGCCATTAGAAAAAAGCGGCCTGATATGGACATAGAGAAAATGTATTTTCACCAAGACAACGCACCTGCACATTGTTGTGAGGAGACGCTGCTCACCATTGACTTCCTTGGCTTATGCACCTTACTCTCCCGATTTAGCACCAATGGAATTTTCCGTTTTTCCGAGATTGAAGTCTGAATTACGCGGGAAAAGATTTTCTGACCTGGCGGAACTACGCATGAGTGTCCGATCTGTGGTATCTGGTTTCGATCGGAATTGGTACAGAAACGCTTAAATGCAATGGGTCAGCAGACATCGGAAATGCGTGGCACCACATGGGCGTTGTTTTGAGAAAGAGTGAGAACAGACGTTCATTTGACGTTTATGACGTCAAAGTGCTCCGTGATTGTTTGTATATGTTATATGTCAAGACTGTTTATGTTAATATTCATCACAGTTAAATGGTTTTTTGCAAATTTGTTTATGAGATATGTATATTTTTGCTGGCAAAAATTCTTATATGTATGTATTGTTTAAGAGTGAAAAATGAAATAGTATATGAACTTTCCGGACAGCCCTGGTATATGGATCTTTTATTCAATGTAGACAATCATCTTTTGAAGTTTGAACACTGTAAAATAGATAAATACAGAATCCCTAGAGAAAGCCCAACACGGCAAAATTGAAAATGTTGCAGGCTCGGTTTGATTGAGCCTGTTCATGGACGGTACTGGAAAGTGCAAGTTACCGTCCACGCCCCCTAGCACCGGCTTAAGCAGAATTCAACATTTAAACGTGAAATGTAAGCCAAATGGAACTTGTATTATCTCCAGAAACCACATGGCTGTTCATCCTATAAATTGGACAGCTGTAGGTTGATTAATACTTTAGTTATTGAGCGAAAAACCGTTTTTAGTTTTAAGTTAATACTAATAGTGACATTGACCTTTGATCTAAATATCAATAGGGGTCTTCTAATCAATATGGACAATCATCCGATTAAGTTTGAATATTGTTGGCCAGATGGAACTTAAGTTATGCTACGGAAACCAAATGGCTAATGGACAGATGGACGGACACCAGGGGTATAACATAATATGTCTGACATTCTTTCGGGCATAAAAAGCGTAAATTTAGAAAATTAGAGTCATGTTACTGGTATGAGGGAATAAGTACCTCTTTAAAATAAAAAAATAAATTTCAAAACTTATCTATAAGACATTTTCTAAAGTGGAAACGTTCTCTCGTCAAAATTAAAAAAATAAGTTAAGTTTTTTTTTTTAAACTGAACCAAACATGTAAACAAACATCTTGTTCAAGACATCGAAAAACGCAAAATCATAATTCAATACACTACTTAAAATGTTTTTTTTAGATGGTTATATTTACCAATCATACAAATATGCTTTTATAGTATACAAAAACACCTTTGATTAGAAAGATCTTGTTACATCTACAAAAAATAGCCACCCCAAAAGGTGGGGGCAACAATTTACTCTTTTTTAAAAACGTTTTCTAAAAGCAAACAAATAAACAGCTTTTATAAGGAGAAAATTTAATTAACCAATTAAACTTGTTTCTTTTATTTTAATAGGTTTGTTTAGTCACACTTGTTGTTTAGTCCATGTATGAATAATTTTCATTAATAAATGACAAAGTAAAGAAAATAAATTCAATCATCTGACCTTGAAAGTCAAGGAAATTTAAAGGTCATGATCATATCTAAATCATTCAACATGTCTGTTTGGTCGCAAGTGTTGTTTTTTCCATGTATGAATCAAAATCCTACATAAAACACAAAGTTATGACAACTTAACCAAAATGCAATAATTTGAACTTGACATGTCCTTTAAAGGTCAAGGTCAGTTCAACCTTTCAGCATGTCTTGTCCAAATGGTTGTTTTGTCCCCCCAAGTTTGAAATACTTCATCCGACACATGTTCGAACTCATCTGAGCAATTACCTAGACAAGTATCCTGACCGAGTTTCATGACAGGTGAGTCAAAAATGTGACTTTCCATATTTGAGCAGTGTGACCTATTTTTTGACCCTAGGTGACCCATATTCAAACTTGACATAGAAATCATCAAAACAAACTTTCAGACCATTTTCCAGGATATTTGGATGAAAACAGTAGCCACTAATTTTAGCTCATTGGACCTAGTTTTTTCAACTGAGATGACCCATGTCCAAACTTATCTAAGCAATTACATAGACAAGCATCCTGACAAAGTTTGATAATGATGAGGTAAAAATTTGACTGCTAGAGTATTAACGAAACAAGAGCTGTCGGTAGGACAGCAACGCTCGACTATTCTTAGTGCTTTATAGTAAAAAAAGCCTTGATTAAAAGGTAAAATTTTCTCAGTAAAGAAAAAGGTAAAATTTTTCTTTAAATCCATATTGCAGTTATAGGCCTTGGAGAGAGGCCTATTATGCTCTCAAAGAAGAGCATAAAATTTCAGCATGTTTCAAAGCCTTATGTCAATGAACTTTGAAAATATTTGAGGTATTACTAACGTAAATTCTAAGTCGAAAAAGGGGCATAATTCTGTCAAACTGCTTGATAGAGTTACCTCCTCCTGTTTACAGGTTGGGATCATGATGGTCAACAAGTACATGCAAAGTTATAAGGCCATATGTCAATGGACTTTGAAAATATTTGAGGTATTACAAAAATTTTAACATAAATTCTTAGTCGTAAAAGGGGCATAATTCTGAACAAGTGTGCAAAGTTTTATGTCAATGGACTTTGAAAATATTTGAGGTATTACAAAAATTTTAACATAAATTCTAAGTCGAAAAATTGGCTTAAATCTGTCAAAATGCTTGATAGAGTTACCTCCTCCTGTCTACAGTTTTGGGTCATGATGGTAAACAAGTGTGCAAAGTTTCAACGCCATATGTCAATGGACTTTGAAAATATTTGAGGTATTACAAAAATTTTAACTTTAAAAATATTTGAGGTATTACAAAAACTTTAAGGTAAATTCTATGTCGAAAAATGGGCATAATTCTGTCAAAATGCTTGATAGAGTAACCAACTCCTGTCTACAGGTTAGGGTAATGATGGTGAACAAGTGTGCAAAGTTTTATGTCAATGGACTTTGAAAATATTTGAGGTATTACAAAAATTTTAACATAAATTCTAAGTCGAAAAATGGGCATAATTCTGTCAGAATGCTTGATAGAGTTACCTCCTCCTGTCTTCAGTTTTGGGTCATGATGGTAAACAAGTGTGCAAAGTTTCAACGCCATATGTCAATGGACTTTGAAAATATTTGAGGTATTACAAAAATTTTAACATAAATTCTTAGTCGTAAAAGGGGCATAATTCTGTCAAAATGCTTGATAGAGTTACCTCTTCCTGTCTACAGTTTGGGGTCATGATGGTGAACAAGTGTGCAAAGTTTCAAAGCCATATGTTAATGGGACTTTGAAAATATTTGAGGTATTACAAAAACTTTAAAGTAAATTCTAAGTCGAAAAGGGGCATAATTCTGTCAAAATGATTGATAGAGTTACCTCCTCAGGTGAGCTAAAAGGAATAACAATGTTACAGTCAAATAAATCAAATATGGAGCAAAATTTAAAGTCTAATCATTTGACACATGTGAACTTTGAAGGTCAAAGATATTTTAAGTCATGGTCAAGTTCCAGTCTGGTCTACTTGAAGGTTCTTTTCCAAAGGGTTTGTTGTGAAGACACTCTACTTTGTAATGAAACAAAAGCCATGTTAAAGTTTTTAGGATGGCAACAAGAAAGTAAGGCAATGAGTTGTACATGGCAATAGCTCGCACTTTTTTATTCTTAAAAAAAAATCAAGCCTAAAACTAACAAGAAATGTCGAACGAAATATATGCCCCCCTTTCTAGCCCTTGACTCACATTATTTATAATTTAGTTATAGAAATTTGCCATCCATAAAGGGTTACAATGGAAGTGTTCAATAATGGCAGAAAAGAATGAAGACTTTGTGATAAATAGTTATCGAAATAATGAGACATTTAAGGCCCCTGTGACCTAGACCTTCGACCTAGTGACCCAAAATCAAAAGGTGTCATCTGATAGTTATTCCTTAAATTATGCAGCTACCTCACATCATTTTATTTATTATGTTCTAAATATTCAATGATAAGGTGTAATCCTATCATAATTGTATGAAAAGTTCTCTGGCGTTTTACAAAATACAGTAACACACTACTATAGATTTAACAATTTGCATTTCCTGTCTCATAACATAAATAATTGTATTCAGAGAAAAGATACAATCAGCTTATATAGTAAAAAATGAAAAAATTTGTTTAAAAAGTTTCGATAAATTTCTAAATTTTCACATTTCAAAATTATAACATTATTATTCGTTGATACCAATTTATTTCACTGCTTACAGGTCAAAATTCGACGTATGTAGTTGTTTTGCCGGGGCAAGACATACTGAATGGAACAGAAAACCCACAAATCAAGTATGAACTAGTTATGACCACAACTTCCCCTAACCCAGTGGATGTGATTATAACTGGTATGATATTTTCCATGTTATCATCAACATTGCATGTATAAATATATTAGTTGGCAATATGACTGAAGTTATCTACTTATGTCATTTCTTGCATGTAATGCAGCGTAAATTAGGAGCTAATTTCAATCGAAATGGAGCAGTTGAAGAGACAAAGAAAAGAACATATTGGAAGAAATAGTTCATGATCACAGTAGAATACACCTGTTGTTAATAGAAGTTTATTGATTATTTCATTTTGAAATATTGTCAAATCTTTAACAAAACAACAATAATAATGACCAAAGTTTGTCATTCTGAACATTGTATTCAGCGATTCGAGTTTGTCGGTATATATTACATGAAAACACTGCTTAATTAGCATATATTTTATACTTAAATCGATCGCAAATTATTCAACCTGGCACCTGAAGAATGATTCCAATATTTAGAAGTGAGAAGTAAGAATACCGCTTAAGTTGGTGATTTATAATAACGCTTAAGTTTCAGCCGTTGACCGGTATGAGGAAATTAAAATATTTACACACTTTAGACTTTAACTGCCAGAATTGAAAGCGATCAGCCTCTTGTCACCAGTATATACCCTGGCCCATTTTGTATTATATCTGCGGGTTTTATATTTTGTTTTACGTTTATTTACAGTAATTTTCCCAGAACATCTAGGATAATAGGTTCTTACTCTATGAAACCAAAAATAATACTTCGAATAGGTGTGGTGGTCAAATCGGATCGACTGTCTGATCCGCAGATAAAAGATGGTATACCATTATATTCATACCCAAGACACTATGGTATGGACGGATCACAGTATCGAACAAAGTCGATTATAGTTAAAGCTTTCGGTCCACGTCTAATTTCAATCTCACAGTTTTGTGTAAATAAAGAAGACTTACAGCATATTATTGAGAAGGTACTAATACTTGGAATCCTACATAGGTTCTTTAGAGCACAGGTCCGCCCATCACAAACTCGCAACCCAGTGTCAGACATGTGGTACTGATTCTTATTAAATGTGATGAGTAGCGACTACACTGCTCACCGTTGGAATGTGGCTAAATGTCACGCTCGGTCGGCTGCTTTGAGAAGCCAGACAAAACACAGAATCTGCGAATGACGCTGTTCGCCAGCAACGTTGAGAAATTAGTTATTGTTGCAAGTGTCAAACAGCTTACACATCAGACCGTACCAAACCGAAGGCAACAACCTCTAAAAAAAACCATAAACTTCACATAGAACAAGTTACTCATAAGAAGAAATATAATGACCAAGCATCAGACACAGACAACATGTACCTAACAAACCAGGACGCTATAAATAATCTAGTCCAAAGATAAAAGTTCTCCAAAAGTTCAAAAAGATTGAACCATAATCGACCTTGTTGAGGCAACCTGATGTTGGGGTTTCTGCACATTCAGTTGTCAAGAATTTTGGATTGATTCGCAATTCATTTGAAAAAACATGTGGCATGCAGTTTCATAACGTGATTTTAGGAAGTCAGGCACAATGTACGACTTTTTAAGACGAGCAGGACCTTAGGAGTGACAAACCCATATATTAGGCCTGACAGCTTATCGTGCCTTTAATGAGATGGTGATCATGCGAATCAGTTATTTTTCTTTAAAGACAATTCATGAACGTGTAAAAAGTTGGAGTGCACCAATGAAACTGTACGAAACCGTGACTAACACGTGGAACCTGTAAAAGTGAAGCGAGTTGAGGAAGGACCTTGGGGTAATTGAAACACTCTTACCGACCTGACCATGTATTGGGCTCTGCATATCGTCTTAGTAAGGGTGAATCAATTATTTTGCGCAACATTATTTTAAAAAATTTCGCTCCAGCTGAGAGTACCTAATGACTTTAACCGGCACTACATTGTTATTTACAGTTTCATGATCGATTGTTGTTATTTGCTGGCAGTTTATGCCCGTTGTAATGAAAAAATGTTACTAATGGAGGCATCGTTGCCCATACAGTGGAGCAACTGGTCCCTACTTCGCATTGGGGATCTGAATATATTTGTTACAAATTTAGGCACGAACGGTTATGGTGACATTCTGAAAATAGTAAAGCAACTGGAATGATACTAAAGTGAAAATGACGGGTTACCCATCTTTTGTTATGAAAGGCAAATTTCATAACCACTGTGAGACGCCTTGATAAAGGACTTAACAGTCATATTATTGCTTCCCATCCAATCCAAGTAGGTATTGCCAAGTTACAATAAGATGTAATGTCATAAATTCACAAATATTCATTTAAATGTTCTAAATATTCCAAGTTATTTAATTTGTTTACAGCATCTGTGTAGAGCTCTTACACATTGGTGATAGTTAAACTTTCTTTAAATTTTTACAACGGGATGTTATTTTATATATGTTTGAAATTTCTAATTGTTGTTTTATGGTAAATCTTATAGTATTATAAATACCTTTCAGCAACTTGAACACGTATTACTTTCCATTACTATAAAGCAGCTGTTTTATGTGATTTCTCTTAAAGTCTTCAGTCACACTTTCAATGGCAGTGTAGAAAATGTTTTCGTCTCCGCTTTGTAAGGACCATTGGTTTGTAATGGTATTATTGAATATTCTTCAATAGCATGTAGCACAATGTCTTTCACTTTCATAGGTAGTACAGATCACTGGCTTGACATATGCTATTTTAAATGAAACATCAGCCCTCAGCATGACAGTTGTTCCCGTCAGTACGTAACGCTTTTACAGGACAGATCAAGGTCGCATGCCAAAGTGAAATTCCTGTCAAAGGAGCATTCTTCATCACATCAGGTATAAAAATTTTAATGCCAAATTATGATCGTTATCACTTGGGCAATCTTCATTTACTACAGGCGGCAGTATTGCAACGGTAAACAACTCGGAATATTATAGATCATCAGATATATTATGACAGCTAATGACTATCTATAAACCCAAATAAAAAAGATTTTGCATATCCGCTGATCCTTGAAGTATCTTTAACGCTCTATGTGTTATTTCTTCCACATCCACTAATCTTGAAGACCCCCCTTTAAGTTTTGCGTGTTGTTTTCGACATACACTGCTCTTTGAAATCCCTTTTACACGGTGTCAAGGGTATACGCATCATTTTTCCGCGTACCGCCAATAATCTATCATCCTGCGCGCAGCACCGTATCATTCTTACGTAATCTTCTGAAAAGTTCAAGTGGTAACTTCAAAAATGCGAACATTTCTTACTAAAATTTATTTTATTTAGAGAGTTTGCATACACCACGGAACTTTTGAATGATTCATCTATGTGTGCAAAATATTTTGCAACACTATTTGTCTATCATAACCTAAAACTAATGAAAACACTTTTATACATGTGAAACATTTGTGTTCTTGATGCGAACATTTTTCATCCTTTTCCGAAAGTGAAGTTGTCGGAAGATGTATCATATGTCAAATGATCACAAAAAGCATTGATACGAGCTGATTACATACCAATTTTATACAAATAATGCAAATAATGTTGTAAAATCAAGAAAACTTTGATAAACATGGTACCGCATCATGCAGAACCATGGCACCGTTTCTTTTTGCGCGGTAATATCTGCATGTATGTACTTAAAAATGTGTTTAACTGTTTTGTTGTTGTTGGTTTTTTTTTTTGGAGGGGGTATTGTTACTTTTTATTGTAGGATTGACAAGAAAAGGTAAATGTTTGGTTATCGGTTAGGGTAAGCGGGGCAGTTGATTACCTGGGCCTGAAAAGCAATCTAGACCTCTATTGTTTTTTTTTTAAGATAATTTCTTATTAAAATTCCTATGCTTTTCGTAGCAGTTGCATTTTATGTCTGTTGTGGAGTTTAACTTTTCTTTGGACTTGGGAATTGCATAATATTTGCTGATATCAGTAATTTGAACTTTTACTCTCAAATTTGTTACTAATTGACTGGGCAACGTAATTTATGCATGTTACTGAATTTTAAGAAAGGTGGCAACTATGTGCTTGATTTATCCTCCCTGTATTATTTATTATACGACCATACCCCAGCAGAGCTATTCAAAAAGTTTCTTCTTACGTCTGTAATATATGGTGGCTGATTTGGTACATTGCGCGTTGCGTTGTCGGTATCGTTATTGCCTTTTCGTCTTGTCGCTAACGACAACACGACAAAGCGCCAAACAGCGCATTGTCGCGCTCTCGTCTTGTCCGTCCTGCCTCTAGTGAAGCACGCCAAACGGCGCGTGGACATGTGGCGTGATGTCGCCCTGTCGCTTGGCTTATAAGCAAATCCTTCGATTTGAACCAAGCGACAATGTGACATTGCGACAACACGCCGCATGACAACGCACCGTTTGGCGTACATCGTTAGCGACATGACGATAAGACGAAAGCCCGACAATGCGCCGTTTGGCGCTTTGTCGTGTTAGCGCTAGGGTGTTAACGCACAAAAGAATTCCTAATCAGCCATTATAGTAAGAAGATACTTTTAAATAACCGTTACTTAAATCCTCTTGCGAATCGAAATATAACAATTTTCGCGATTAAACTTAATTTTCGCATGTTTTATTCGAGAACTGTAACTTATTCACAGTACCAGTGACTATAGAGAAAGTCCACGAAAAAAAAAGTTAAATCTCGCTTCTTATCTTTTAAGAAGACCCAGTGCGCTGCTTGATAGTAAAACAAAAGCCTTAAGATTTTTCAATAATGGCGATAGTTCTGTCAAAATTCACAATTACAATAGCTCTCCCTATTTTTTCGAATAGTTGAGCTAAATCAAGAGATTAAGTCAATCTTAACAGGTGATATTTTAACTGTCTCAAACAGGACACTATAGAAACCGATGGAAAGTAGTGCGCATCTCATGAGAAAGTCCAGTTTATCGTGAAATTGGATGGCCATTTCCAGGAACAAAGTAACTGTTGATTTTAGCATTGACGAAACTAACAGTTGTTCGTTTGGAAGATGGTACACCACATAGTTGTTTTTTTTATATCGTCTGACATTTTTAAAAAAAAACATTAAAAGGACTCCACTGAGGTTTAAAAAGCCTAAAAATCATAACATTTGAATTTCTTACATAAATGAGCTGGGGCACTTTAGACAGAAATATATGCAAATATAGTTAAGAAATATGCTTTAAAATAATTGAAAATTGTATATATATGCTTTTCTTAGTCCGATTTGAGTGAAAAGCGTTTAAACGCTTTTCATTTTGTGACATTTATTTACAATGTGAATAATTCTTCTGGAAAAACGAAGTGCGCGAATGATCTGAAATTTTGCACAAAGATTAGAGGTCTAAACCTACACCAAATGGTACATTTACATGGAAAAAAATTTCAGTCCGATCATATCAAAAAACCTCAGTGGAGTCCCTTTAAAGTGACATTTACAATGTACTGTACCCACCGCCCCACACACATAAAAAACAACTGCCATAAACGGCGAGCATTGCGTTAGCGTTAAGGTAATCATGTGAATAAGGAAACTTACTAAATTTGGGGTCCGAAACATTGACGCAAAACAAGTTAGAGACGATTACATACTAGTAAATTTGACATACTGTTAATTGATGGCAGCCATTTTAACATTGTTTAACATGAATGAAAGTGAATTATGTCCAATTTACTAAGTGCACGAAAGTTCCGTGCGAATACAATTTACCTTTCACTGCCCAAAGCTTAAAGGCCATGCAAATAGTTTCTATAGCTTTATATTTTCAACGTGAACATACATAGATCTATTTATAATCAAATGTGTTTTCTATTTATAATTAAATGAGTTTTTAATTTATCGGTTCTTTACAATTTAATGTCGTATAATTCAGATACAGTTACTCGTATTTTCTTCAAATTGTCTTCTTATGTCTGTAAGAAGACACTTTTGAAGGAAAACTCGTACTGTATCCATTACATATCTGTGTCGGCATGCTTGAATTTTTCCTTGTAGTTCCAGTTATTGATAGACTATTATAAAACTTATAGATAGCTTTAAGCACAACGCTCATGAAACATGGGATGGCCGCTGGCGTGGTTCGAGCTCACGCATTGACAAGCGATGCCAGAATTCCAAGTCCGACGTTTCAGTCTAAAAGTCACGGGTTCGATTCCTTACTCTTCCAGTGTATTTACTCAAATTCTTTTACTTAAACAATATTTTATTTATAAACATTTCATTTACATGATAACTGACAAATATTAAATTGCACGGATTGAGTAGAAAGCTTGAAAATCTTGTTTTTTAGAAACTCTCACCGTAAGCACTATCTCAAAGAGTATGTATGAAATGGTGACAATTAAATATCTATATTTGTGGTAAATATACATAAAATTTTCACTAAAAACTTGCTTCTTTATTAGCAATTTGCACTCTTGTTGTGTTAATCGAACCGATCTTAATAATAAAGTGTCGACTCAAATTCTTTCGAATATGACCGCGGTCCCACGTGTTTTAGTTTTATAATATTTTATTGCATATTTTGTACATGATTAATTTACACAATCTAACATCAATATCTTAAGCATATTAAAATGTAATGTACATACACAAGGGTTGGACCAAAAGTTATACCAACATTATCTAGGGTCCTCCCCTGAAGGTCTATCTTGTTGGCTTAATGGTAATATAGTAAGTAAATGTGGTTTTTATAAATTATGAGATATTTATTTATATGATAAGCGATATTAATTTCATGTATTTGAACTTGGTAAAAAAGAATCGCTTAACCTAAAAAAAACAAACAAAGTAAATTACAAAATGACGTAAAAAAATGTATGCCATTAACAATTTGCCACTATAATAAACGCACGTGTTTACGCCGGGCACACAAAAAAACAGGCTTGCTTCTACTGGTTCAAAAATAATAAATATACATCTACAGGCCTCGCCCAGATGGGCAACAATAAATAAATACAAATAAGATTTTTTCACCATTAGGTTAATCATCATGATGCGGTGCAAGTCTAGCGCTAATGTATACGGTGCCACAATTTTCGGTGCGGACCCATGATACGGTACCAAGAACTCGGTCAGTTGTCACACTTTTATGACTTTTTTAAGAAACTAAACAGCTTAAATTTGTGTGCAAGAGTCTGTGTATATATATCTTTGACGCTATCAGTTATATTAAATAAATACTTTGAGTGACAACATAATTATCTCTTTTAGAAGTTTTTCAAATGCTCATTTTCCCCAAGCCAGCTCTAGCTGTTTTCATTAAAACAAAGAAATCGTAAAAGTCTTTGATAAAAACTAGCTAAAGACATAAGCTTCAATGATCATAATATTCCGTAGACACACTTTTATGAATACACTTACTTCAAAAATGTGACTTTCAGGCCGTTTTCCATCATGCATGTTATGTTTACGTGTTTGTTTTGTCTAAAATGATACGGTGCTGCGCGCAGGATGATAAATTTTCGACGGTACGCGGAAAAATGATGCGTATACCCTTGACACCGTGTTTTAAGTTCTATGAATCATTTTTTTATTTCAGGGAAGCTTTCAAGTGAGACAAGAATCGATAACCAGAATGTAGTAGATAAAACCAAAATTAAATACAGTGACTATTTGATAAGTACTAAAGAAGCTAATAGTCTATCATTTACAATAGAGAATACAGACGGTGCCAGCGGCATAATGAAATGTGACGATCAAGCAACCATGCCAACCTCTGTTATCTTCAACGAGGTAAGATAAGCTAATGTACACCAGATGTTTACATTGTAACTGTGTGCCTTTCTACATATATCACTGAAAGAAAAAATAATTTTATGACCATTTTGCCTCTGATGGATCAAGTCACGGTGTTTCATTCCGTTTCACTCATAGCTTTAATATAATTAGGTTTTATCTTTACATTTATACTAATACTTTGACGTATATGTTTTATGCTTTCTTTTTCCAGAATGTCGACAATACTCAAGTATTTTCTCCAAATTATAATGGAGGCACTTGTTATGGTGAGAACACGTTATACTAGTAGAATAAGCAAATGTTTCATATTTATCTCTAAAAATATATGTCTGAATTAAGTACTTACTAGTGCATAGAAAAACCCAACACTTTACGAGGGTAATTTATTTTTTTCCCAAGTAATGTCAAATATCCTTAATAAAATGAAAGGCAAGCATTCATCAGAAACCATTTAACATTACCTATGATTTGTCTTTTTTACATTATGCCTCAGAAATGAAAACATTTTTCCATCATTATAAAGCCAATAGGGCAAACATGAGTTTTAATATGTTAAAATAATGGTTTTAGAGTATGTTAGATACTTCGATGTTAGATCACTAAACGAACTAAGCTTGGCCAATGAGTATAACATTTTGGAAACTATAACTGGACACCAAAAATAAAAAAAGTTTTTAGGAAATAAAATTAATCAAAGCACTGAAAGTACTGTTGGAAGGAAATTTTCATAGAAATTCCCAATGTGTGTGAATTAAAAACAAAGGAATATGTGCAAGCTTCAATCTACAGCTTGCTGATTTGATGACACTGATTTGATGACACAAAATGTGACGTCATTGTTTCTGTTTTTGCACTACTCATGTTCAGTGGGCTGATAACTAGTTCTTGGCCCAGGGCCCCAAACCCATAAGTTGTGACACTCATAATCAGTTGAAATCATAGGCAATTCTGTTTCTAATAAGTGAATTAATAGATAATACTACTGCATTATGAACACAAAGAACCACTCAGTTTGACCTAAATCGGCCATGACTTATATAACTACTTCATAGGAATTCAAGACTATGCCATAAGCATTATTTAATCATAGTTAATGAAGAGACTTTTTATTTCAAACTCAAGGACAAGAAAAGCTCATCATGTGCTTACATGTGTAAGTTCAAACATGACTAATTGTGTTTTAGTATGAAATTGATGTACATGCTGTTAAAGTCATAGCTAAACAAAGAACAATGATTTAAAGTAAACTTTTATTGTCAAAACTTGCATAAAAGTAAAAATATATGTGATATAAAAAATAAATGCTTAAATATATGGAGATAATGAAATTTAGTTTGTCAGAAAGGAAAAGGAACTCCACTGAGGTTTTTTGACATGATGAGACTGAAATTTAGTTTGTCAGAAAGTAAAAGGAACTCCACTGAGGTTTTTTGACATGATGAGACTGAAATTTATTTTCTAGATTAATGTACCACTTGATGTATATTTTGACCACTTATCTTTGAGAAAATTTCAGATCATTTGCGCACTTCGTTTTTCAAGAATAATTATTCAAATTGTAAAAAAATGACCCAAAATAAAAGCGTTTAAACACATTTCACGCAGATCAGGCTGAGAAAAGCATAAAAAAAATCGATTTTCAATTTATTTCAAAGTATATTTCTTCACTATCTGTGCATATATTTCTGTATCAAGTGCCCCGGCTCATTTCTGTAGAAATTCAAATGTTATGTTTTAGGCTTTTAAACCTCAATGGAGTGAGTCCCTTTAAATTATTGGTACATATTGAGGTGACACAAGTTATAACAATCTGAATGAAAGAAGCTTTAACGCAAACGGCCAGTGGTATAGGAGGTGCTGTTTTAAGGATTTTTTACATACAAGACTGATATTATACAACAGAATATAGTCAAAAGTAGAAATGTGCCCACAGGACTTGAATGCCTGCGTTAAGAACAATGCTTATATTGAGTGGGTAATCAAAATATGTACATAATTAGACAAGCCCACTGGCAGCATATCGAGCCTGTTGCCTTTATTCAGAACTGAACCTTAAAGCTTCAGATTGGGGAGAAAGATGTATACATAAGTGAACATTTCATGATTTGTGATAAATGTTATGAAAATCCAGCCATGTATATAGAAATATACTCTCATGTTTTAATTTATTATTTGACTTTTGATCCACAGAGTTACTAACGTCCCCTGCCTCAGGGATGTTTTATATGAAACAAAAAATTGTGCTATTTCAAAAGATTGAGCCAGGGATCTAAGGATTTTCAGTCCAAAATTATGATCAATGCTAGATCTGCAAATGCAACAATATATTTATTAAAGAAATAAAATGAAATACTGAATTTCAAAATCTATCATGTTAAGCTTTGCAGGGATTTTTTGGCTCATTTTATAGCCGTTATTGGGACATATTCCCAATTGAAAATAGTATATTATTTTCCCAATCCACAGGAAAATATTCCCAATTGAAAGTTACAAAAATATAGATATTGAATAAAGAATTCTAAAATCTTTGAAAATAAGGGCTTCTTCACTGTTATAGTGTTAAAATGTTTGAAGAAGCCATCCTAGGCAGTGATTGCTTGCATACATTTAATCACTGCAAAATTTCAGTCATGTATTTTTTCCCAATTTTTAACAAAATATTGCTGAAATTCCCAGTTCCATGGGTATGGGTTATGTTCCCAAAATCCTGGAAAAAATCCCTGCTTTGACCTCTAAGTGTGACCTTGACCTTGGAGGTAGGGGTGCAGGTGTTGTGCATGACATATCATCTTATCATTGTGACTATTTGTGCCAAGTATTTTCAAAATCCCTTCATCTATGAAGAAGTTATGGACGGTGCATAAAATATACCATATAACAGACTTTGTTACCTTTATACCTCTAAGTGTGACCTTGACCTTGGAGGCAGGGGTGCAGGTGTTGTACTTGACATATAGTCTTATTATTGTGACTATTTGTGCCATGTTATTTCAAAATTCCTTGAACTATGAAGAAGTTCTACATTGGACACAATATATACCCTTTAAAAGACTATGTTAATTTTTTACCTCGAAATGTGACCCTGACCTTGGAGGTAGGGATGCAGGTGTTGCGCATGACACATTGTCTTATTATAGTGAATATTTGTGCCAAGTGTTTTCAAAATCCTTTGATATAGGAAAAAGTTATGGACCGGACAAAAAAATACCCTATAACAGGCTATGTTATTCTTAGACCTCCAAGTGTGACCTTGACCTTGTAGGTTGGTGACCGATTGTTGCGCATGACACATCATCTCATTGTTGTGAACAACTGTGGCAAGTATTTACAAAATCCCTTCAAGATAAGAAAGGTATAGACTGGACACGAGATATACCCTCAAATAGACAATGTTGACCTTGAATGAGCAAGTGTGACCTTGACCCTGGAGGTAGGGGTCTGGTTATTGCGCATCATCATCTTATTATAACAAACATTTGTGCCAAGTTATTTCAAATTCCTTCAATAAATGACAAAGTTATGGACCAGACACGAAATATACCCTGTAACAGGTTATGTTAATATTTGGCCTCCAAGTGTGACCTTGACCTTGGAGGCAGGTGACCTGTTGTTGCGCATGACACATCTTCTCATTATTGTGAGCAATTGTGGCAAGTATTTACAAAATCCCTTTAGAGATAGGACAGTTATAGACCAGACACGAGATATACTCTTAAATAGACAATGTTGACCTTGAATGAGCAAATGCGACCTTGACCCTGGAGGTAGGGGTCTGGTTGTTGCACATGACTCATCGTCTTATTATAACAATCATTATTATAACAATCATTTATGCCAAGTTACTTCAAATTCCTTCAATAAAACCTTGAAGTTGATAAAAATTTGTTCATACATATTTCAACAAGAGGGCCATGTGTATATAGGCCCCTGGAGCGGGGCCAGTTTAAACCCCAAGGCTTTTATTTGAACAAACTTGTATGACACCCATTAGAAGATGTTTCATGATGTTAAGTTTTTACTACACAAATATAATGTAAAACAAAAACCTCTGCACCACCACCCACCCCCGGCATGGCCAATTTTTATCCAAGGGCTTAAATTTGACCAAACTTGGTAGAAACCATAAGAAGATGTTTCATGCTAAACATCTAGGCTCTAGCTCATTGGGTTTTTTAAAAGAAGATTTTTTAAGTTTTTACTATACACATATAGTTAAAAACAATGAAACCCCTGGGGCGGGGCCAGTTTTGACCCCAGGGCTTTTATTTGAACAAACTTTGTACACACTTACCAGAAGATGTTTCATGCTTAATATCTAAACTCTAGCTATTTGGGTTTTTTCAAAGAAGGTTTTTAAGTTTTTGCTATACACATATAAGGAAAATCAATGACCCCCGGTGCGGGGCCAATTTTGACCTCGGGGCTTTTATTTGAACAAACTTTGTAGACACTTACCAGAAGATGTTTCATGCTTAATATCTAAACTCTAGCTATTTTGGTTCTTTAAAAGAAGTTTTTTAAGTTTTTACTATATGCATTTAGAGAAAATCAATGACCCCTTTGGGCCGGGCCAATTTTGACCCCAGGGCTTTTATTTGAACAAACTTGGTAGACACTCACTAGAAGATGTTTCATGATAAATGTCTAAGCTCTAGCTCTTTGGGTTCTTTAAAAGAAGATACTTTGTCTAAGCTCTAGCTCTTTGAGTTCTTTAAAAGAAGATACTTTATGTCATTTTCTTTTGGTTGCCATGGCAACCAGCTTTCTGCATGAAATTAAATTCTATGAACAGTATTTAAAGGTGACCACCAAAGGAACATTCCTGTAAAGTTTGGATGAAATTGGCTTAGTGGTTTATGAGGAGATTTCATTTAAAGTAAAAGTTTACGGACGGACGCCGGACGAAAAGCGATCAAAAAAGCTCACCCTGTAACTTTGTGACAGGTGAGCTAAAAATAGTTAAGTGATCTTATTTTCCTGGTGAAAAACTGGTGGCTCATTAAAGTTCTATACATATTATGATATTTCAAATATTGGAAAGTTATCTCTAGTTATTGGTGAAAGACTGGTGACTAGTTTTCTCCTCAATGTCATTTCTTTTTCTAATTAGATTAAGTCATGGTACTATATTCATGAGACTTTCGACATCACATCTAAGAACTCATTATCCAACATTGCAAAGGGCAGGCAGTCTCCTGGTATTCCAATTTCTTTTAAGTTTTATAAAACCACAATTTTTTTCTATTTCTTAAGTGTTTCCGACATGAAGAAACATCTACATGTATCTTTCCTTATCGCTCCTGCTTTATCTGTTCTATCACATAAGCGCCTCTGTTTCCTGAAATATTTGTTTAGAAAAAGTTAATTGCAAAATTAAATTAAAATTCCACTATTTTTATAATTTTTTTTTTTTTTTTTGGGGGGGGGGGGGGCAATTTTCAGCACAATTTCCTTCCAGCTTTACTGGTTGAGGAAGACCTTGGTGCACCTATGTGTATGATTTCAGGCACATGGATACCATCAATGTTCCATAAATGAGCTTTCTCACATGAAAAAATGCTGAGCTTGAACTTACAGCAGTGAAAGGAGTCAATAAACTAAAACAATCAGTCACAGACCCGGGTATTTTATCTATTTGCTTAGCAGCAATTTTTTCAAAATTATTCAAATTCATAAATGTGAGTGATTCTGGCTAAGTGATGATAAGATGATCATATATGTCAGATATGTTGGAGTGCTAACACTGCTTACTGTGAATATTCAATATTTTAATGTGAATTGTCCTGAGGTGAAAAGGAAAGGAAAGCTGAATTCCTAAATACATGTTACATGTCACAATTGTTCTTGCTATTAATTTTGTTCCTAATTTCTTGTATAAGATATTTAAATACACTAATTCTTTTTTATAAATTTGGCTTTTTGTGACAATAGTCTATCCAGTGACAGAAGCTCACTGACTTAAAATAAACTGTCCTGTGTCAGCCTTTAAACAAGTCAAGAAAAAAAAGCTATTAGAAAATAATAATTAAGAAATATCATATACAAATACTTCTAAATAATCATGTACCTCTTCCTTAAATGCCCATGCTATTGAAAGAAACATTTTTCCATTTATTCACTTCAAGGTTAGTCAGATTGACAGTCTCACATTTTAGCCTTTATCTCTCATGATTTCATTGTCATTGACCCTAAAGCATCCTTAAAATCGATATCCTGCTGTTCACATTCATAAATCTGACATGTAGGCCGAACTTCTGAAAAATAAAATATAATTATTATTAGATATACATATAGTATCCCAATTATTATGTTAGTTGATATCAAATCAATAATTTAAGCAGCTAATGTTCGAAATTAGCAGTAGTCTGAGAGCCCGACTACTTAGTAACATTTCTCCTCGGGCTACCAACTTTTCACAGTAAAAAGCCTGACCAGGCTACTGTATTTTCAGAGGCAATATAAACAACTGTTTTGAACAAATGAATCGTGCTAGTGAAATGTCTTTTGGGCAAGTAAATATTCCAATCTAATAGTCCGACCAGCCAAGTCGATTCAAATCCTAATTTCTTACACTGTTTAAGAGACAATTTGTTCAAAATTGTCCAAGCATAAAGATTTTTATAGTATACTATGTATATGTTAGTGTTCATCCGTGCTGTTCTACAGAAATAAGAAACTTCGACGGGAGCGATAGCGACAGGAGAATGTTTCTAATTTCTGTAGAACAGCACGGATGAATACTAACATAGTTAGCGTCAAACTTTATTTGGCCTCATTATCATTCACTTTATTACGTCACTATGCAGTTTTATGAAGTACCATGAAAAATAGAAGTTGACTATGGAGGTAATTCGATATAGTATCGACTTTTGTACTTCTATGAAAATTAACGCACACAATTTTTAAGAGATACAGCGTTTTCATTGGATGACAAATAAAGTTGGACACTAAAGTAATTATAGTACATATACAGTATGTATTAAATGTCTTTACTATCTACTATACTGTCCTGAAATTTCAAGAAAACAACTATCTTTAAAATCCATTGTCTCGGAAGTTGCAAAACCAAGTAAATGAAATTGTTCTGGGTTTGTATTATTCTGTACAACTTCTGATCACAAAAGCTTCAAGGACATTTATGAGTGAGTCAGGTCCTATCCTGAAAGATTGTTGTTCAAGCATTCAAAAATAACAAAGTTATAGCTACTAATAGCAAAAATCAAGAAAATTTAGACATTTACCTTGAATGTTAATATGGTGGTCAAGTTAATTAAGTTTAGTCTGGTCTATTTGAAGGGTTGTTGTGGCCATGTATGAAGACAATACACCAAGATCTGAAAAAGTTATGAACAAGGTTAAAGTTTTTTGACAGCAATAGGAAAGCCGTCATGACTAACAATATATTTTGGCCCTAATGCAAACTGAAAATTCTAGCCTATAACACTGTTGAGACTAGCTGTTCAGCATTTTTTCAATAATAAATAAATGCAATGATTAAGTCGGTAACTTGCAAGTCTTCTAACATTTTTACAAAGAATGAACATATGTATTTCTTCCTAATAATTCTAAAATGATGTTCAGTCATTTATATTATAACAAGATATCGGAAAGATTATAGATATATCAGAAATGAATTGGCCCGTGGACTTTAATGTCAATCATAGAGCTCTTATGCAAAAAGTAATGGTAAGCAAACATCCAGCATGAAATTTTCAAGTAGCCAGAAGTTAAATAAAATTATTAAAAATACTTTGTCATGATTCAACTACTGCTGAAAATTGACCCACATGTTTGATTACAAATTTATAACATCTATATTGTCCATAGAAATAATAAATTAATTTTCAGTCTCTTTCTCTTTGCGCTTTCACACAGATTTGAATTATTCAAGTCCATGATTTTCAGAAGGAAAAAATCTTCTGATCATCAAACACTAAAAATTACTATACCAACTGCAAATTGCAGTCTGTGCGAAAGGCTGTCGGTCCTCGGACCTCGCCAAATAAAAATCAGGAGGGCCGAGATAAATTTTGATACAGTGATCGAATATCAATTGTACACAACAGTTAAATATATTATAAACTTATTTCTATGTTAATAGATAGTCTATATACAATAGATATGAAAAAGCAAATCCTACACAACAGTCAACACTGTAAATTCGAATCAGGGTCAGCTCGGCCCTAAAAGGTACTTGGCCCTCGAGTCAGCTTGCAGCCCTATTCCAACTCAGCACGGGTCAACTCGGCCCATAATTATATATTACTGGTAATGATTACTTTCTTACTTTTGATATGTTTTCATCATAACTTTCATGGTTTAACATTTTCACACTACTGTAACAGACATCTACTCAAGGATATTGAAGTTTTTATTTGTTTTATTGATGAAAGTACCAATTTGTATGTGAATTTGTAGAGAAAGAAAGAATTTACAATTTAAACGCATATTTTGCTTCTCCAGATTTTTTGTAAAAAATATCATTAAAAAAGCATTTGTCATATTAAAGAACAAACAGTATTTAATACAATAAAATTCATTGTCACAAAAAATCAATCTAAAAACTCTATTTATTGATCAATATTTAACATATATTGTCTTGTCTCTTGATATCTCTTCTTCAGATAATTATTTATCTTAAAGATAATTTCAAACAATATGTTATTAACTAAACAATCTATATCCTAATCCTAATATATGGTTTTAATAGAGGGCCGAGTTGACTAAGTCACTTGTCCCGAGTTGGTGTAGGGCCGAGTTTACCTGTAAATTCAATAATGTAAACAATCCTTGACCTAATTTCGTTTGTCTAACAAATTAACATCTGCAAACACAAAACGATTTTGAACAAAGAAATAAAAGCATTTCCACAAACCTTTGCGATGTTATTCATCAGCAAATCTATGTCTTGAAATCTGAAAAACACGAACGTTATTCTGTCGATGGTCCGAACGGTGTGCCCTACTTATTAGTCTAAACCAAGTTTTACCAAATTGCATCCGTTAATTCCAGAATACTTTTGAAAGACTTGTATTGAAATATTGTTTTTTATTATTTACATAATAATATTTTTGTTTCAAACGCTTTGATTCTATGATAATTTGCGAACCATTTTTTTGCAAAAATAGTATGCCTTTTTAAGGCCACATATTGTATCCATTGTTTCCTCTTGAGTTATCGACGTAAAAAATTCAGCGGTGGCATAAAATGCTATTCAATAAATTGCTAAATATATACAAAAAATACTTTTATTTCCCTTCGGTTGACTTATATGTGAACTTTTCAGCATCTCTGCTACAAAATTACACCTTATTTATATTCAATTTATTGTACATAGGTACATGGACACAAATTTTTCTTTGGCCTAATGCGTAATAATACTGATGTTTTTTTTTCGTACACGTTTAAGATTATGTTCCATTGATGTAAGCTAACATTGAATATCATCATTTCAAGTTTTTTTTAACATCATCTTTTTCTTCAAGTCATCCACGTTTGAAAGTATACATATAGTTCTGCTGCACTACTTTCTTGGTCGCATTAACTACTTGTTTTCTATTGAGCTTAAACAGAAGTCAATTAGGTGTTGTTCGTTCTTTTTTGATATGGGCAGACCGTTACTATAGAAAGGAAATTTTTTTTTGAAAAAATTTCCTTCCAAAAAGCATTCCTAGGATATAATGCATAGATTCCTGACCTGTCTATTTCGTATTATCATAAGATTAGTAGATACAATACGAATTTCACCTCAACATATTTATTAACGAAAGAGCACATGTTGATGTTTGTGGTAAAAACTATTGTTATTCAAATGAAAAGGCAGAGTAGGGATCTATCAATGGGCCTTTAACTTGACTATATTGTTTGCGAAATGGTGAAACTATTTTTCATATACATGTCATCAAAATGCTCATGGACAAAGGATATTTTAAAACCAGCAAGGCAAGACAATTAAGTTGCCTCCTTCACATCAATCTAATCTAGCTCGATTCAATAACTCACCGTTTCTAATTCCTAACCAAAGAAACCCTGTTTCTTGCAAAACTTGGAGTAAAGGCAGAATTCAGTGTTGTATTTATCGCAGAAATTTTGTTAAATATGGTCTACTTTTATAAAGACAGTTCCCGTTGTCGTTGTCTATGTCCAGCTGAAAGTTATAAAATGCACATACATGTAGTTGTTATGATTAAATTCTCTTATAATTATAAATTATAAAACAAAATATGCTGCGACGGAATAAAAAGATTTTTCTCTTAATTGCATTGATGCTTTCCCAGTTAGAGCCTATTTGTTTATAAAAATATGAAAAAAAATGCCTAAAGTGATGAAAAGGTGAATCTGATTCCATAATCTAGGCCACCTTACATGACAAATTTCATCATTTCGTGCGACCATATGTCACCTTTTTGTCATTACAATCAATGTTAACATCCAACTTATTGAATTTTGACGCATTGAGGCCAGTGTGATTATATTCTTTATCATGCAGAGGGTGGGAAAGCGAGTACAGTATTCGACTCCTCAATGAGCAGCTCAGCACCCTACACGCTTAGTCTTCTAGATCATCCAGAACATGTTTTACAGATGAGAGTTAAAGTATGTGGCGAAGCTGCATTACAATTCTTCATGAATGACGGTGACCTCACGAATTCTGTGTTCCTTACAGTAACACATACTCAGGTGACAATCACCAAATGTTTAGTGGATTGTGGAACGGGTCAGGCGGCAGTTATAAGCGATACTAAACGGTAAGTGTTATTACAAAAAATAGTGATGAGTATCTATATATAAACAGTAGTAGGAGTCAGACAAAGCTACATTTCTATAAAATCAGGTTAGACTGATACAATTTAAAAAAATTATTCTTAGCATAATAACTCGTAAGGAAGTCCAAATTCAAAGTAGAATATCCGTTATGTTCATTATGCAAATGATGAATGTAAGTATACATGTTTATAATCAGTTCAATTAAAACAAGCGCTTTTCTTTAGCTTTCGAGATTTGATCTTCTTCAGAAAAATGACTGTTATAAAAAAACGGCAAATGACAAATAACACATACTCAGGTGACAATCATCAAATGTTTAACGGATTATTTTTTGTTCGTACAGGCATAGATAAACATATGGTCCCTGATATGCTATATATGTTTAAACACGGTATCTAACACCTCAAAAAATTAAATATACTGTAGCCTATATACGATCGTTGTACATATGCAAAAAATCTAAATTTAGTGGAACATGTAGACGTCACTGATATGTGCCATTCGTGTTTTCGCCCAGCGACCCATTCAAGCGAAAGGTCGAGAATTAACAAGTTTAAATGGCGGGGACGCGGGGCGAAAACGTGCTAATTACAAAGGACACGGGGCGAAAGGTAATAAAAAATATAAAAAAAAAAACTTCGTCACGCGGGGGCTCGGAGTGAGATTTAAGAAATAAAACGGTGAGGGGCGAAGCCAAAACAAGCTTAATAGCGCCCCCGCTAATAAGCGTGTTTTCGCTCCGCGCCTCCTCCATTTTAACTTGTTAAATCACGACTTCATGCTTGGCGTTGTCGCTGGCAAAATAGCTAATTAGAGGGGGTATGGGGCGAAGTATATTTATCAAACCTCGAACCGCACCCCCGTGTTTTCGCTCCGGTCCCCGCCGTTTTATTTCTTTCATCTCGTTTTGCGCCAGCGCGGGCGACGTTTTATTTATTGCACTTATGAACAAAATATGCGTGTTTTCGCTCCGCAATCAATCCCGCCATTTGAAATTGTTAATTCTCAATTTTTCTCTTGGGGCTGGCGGGGCGGAAACACGCTAATTAGAGGAGGCGCGGGGCGTTGTTTTATCATTATGAACGTCGCCCTGCGCCCCCTTATTAACGTGTTTTCGCTCCGCGCTCCGCAATTTTATTTCTTAAATCTTGGTCTGCGCCCCCGCGGGGCGAAATTTTACTTATTAAACTTCACACTGCGCCCTTGCTAATTAGCGTGTTTCGCTACGAAAACGAAACGAAAACACGAATGACACAAATCAGCCACCATAAGACTCCTAGTTTTATTACTTTTTGAACAATCCTCGTATATGTACTATATAGTTTCAAAAATAGGTCAAACTTTGTTTAAAGGAAAATTATAAGTTGAACTTATTTAGAACAAATGACCATTTTTATAATGTAAGAGTTCAATACAGTATGAGACATAGCCTTTAATTTAAATGCCTACTTTGGCACTACTTAGTTCTTTTACTGAAAACAAAATACATCAGTGGAAGTAACTAGAATTACAATAAATCTATATGTCCGTGTGTTATTATTACATACATTATACAATGTTAAATAAATTGTCCTGTTGTATTTTGCTATTGATGACCTCTCAAACATTGTTCGATTTCATATTCTCCTCGTTTGAGTGTTGCCTTTTGTTTTGACTTTTTCTTTAAACTGCACACATATGTGTGTGGATATTTATTCGTTCTTAGGGAGATGTTAATATATTTAACATATATTTTTTTCGTATGGTGAATTCTACGGATGTTGGCCGCTTTTAGCGTTTTAATTATTTCATGTTTTTTTTTCCGTGTTGCATACATACAATTAATGAGTCCAGTTGACATGTTTATTTTAAGATCTGTATTTCTACAAGCGTACTTATGTTGTTTTTTTACAAACAGATTTAATTCTGAAGACAGTGCAAAGTGGAATTGTAAAACGGACATGGCTTTTTTCTGGTTTACTCAAAAGACTGAGGCTTCAAAAAACTATTTTTGCTTCGGGATTGGCAAATACGACGACACCAAATGCACGGGAAATGAAACAGAAAGCTTCTTCGAAGTATCTAGTCCGTTTAAAATGATTAAATTGATGGGTGTAGCATCCGACGCAGCCTTTAATTGGGGTATGTGGTTTAATCTTTTTTTTCTTTTTCATATTACAAAAAAAATCGATATAACAATCTTTAAAATCGTCTAATACGAGGGACGATCAGAAAATATCCGGCATTTTCATGCTTTTCTCTTCCCACGTGCAGCTATATACACACATTATATATTGGTGAAAACTACATTCATTCCCTAATAACGTGGTCAGTTTATTTTCAATGATACTTGTGTATACACAGTATTTTGCCCTCTGATATATGATATGTGTTTCGTCTTTCATGGACTCTTTGTTAGAGAAATAAAGTTTCTGGTTGCAGAAGGTGAAAAGCCCTGCCACATCTTTTAGAGGCTTCAAAAAGATTTTCTGATAAATGTGTATCACGTTCAACCTTCTACAACTGGGTTTCTCAGTTTCGTGAAGGCAGAACAAGTGTTTGTGACAGGCCTAGGACTGGGCGGCCAGCTGAGGCGGTAACCCCAACAATGGTAGTAAATGTTAAAGCTTTTGTCAACAAAAATCGTCGAGTAACTTTGGAGGAGGTAGCCAACAAGTTAAGCATCGGTAAGGCATCGGCACACACGATTTTACACCTAGGCATGAGCAGGGTAAGTGCCAGGTGGTGCCTAGACAGCTGTCCGCAGATCAAAAGGCAAACAGAGTAACCAATGCAAAAGAACATTTAAGCCGTTTCAATCGTGAAGGAGATAAGTTTTTGAACCGCATTATCACTGGAGATGAGATGTGGGTTCATTATTCCGAACCTGAGACAAAAGCTCAGTTAAAGCAGTGAAAACGAGCTGGTTCCCCACCTCCTACACAGCTTAAGCTGTCTCCTTCGGGTGGTAAAGTCATGCTTGTTGCCTCTTGGGATTCACGAGGAATGATACTTACTCATTTCATGCAAAAAGGTCCAACTGTCACCGCCAAGTACTATTCTGAAGTAATTCTGAAAAATCTCAGAGAAAAGCTGAAACAAATGCGTCCCAGGTTAGGACAGAAAAATGTCCTCCTTCTTCACGATAACGCCCCCTCCCATACCGCCGCAGCTACAGTGGAGGTTATCAACTCTTACAAATGGCAATTGTTGTCTCACCCTCCTTATAGCCCAGACTTCGCCCCTTGTAACTTTTATTTGTTTCCAGAACTGAAAAAAAATGCTTGCTGGAAAGAAATATAAGACAATGGGCGGCTTTGATATCTGCTGTTACACAGTACCTGAAACATAGGTCTACGTCATGGTTCACGGCGGGAATACAAAAGCCTCCACGAAGATGGCAAAGGTTCGTAGACGTAGGTGGTGAATATTTTGAAAAAAGAGTAGAAAGGTTTTTTTAAAAATGTTGAATGGTTTTTGGAACGAGTCAAAAGTCCGGATATTTCATGACTTCCCCTCGTATAAGACTATTAATATTGATTTCTGCTAATTTTAAATAAATGTGTTAATAGAAAGAGCATCGAAACACGAGGCTATGTGATTTGTACGAAGGGGCGTAGCCCCGAGTATTAATCAGATTGCCGAGTGTAGTTATTCTATTAAAATATGTGAAGTTCCTGAAAGAGTTTTAGAGAATTATAAACCTAAATGCAACTTATTTGATACAATTATTTTCAAATTATACTATCAAATTCAATTTAATTAACTTATTTTGCGTGTATGATTACATGCTATATATAAACTTGCCTTTTTCATTTAAAATTACAGATTTCATTGATAAAGCAGGGTGTGATGTTTACGAATCAGGTAAGTGTATTGTCAATGTCAATAAAAATGATATTAAAAAGAACATATCCTCCATATTAGGTGCAAAAATGACTGGAATCCTCTGTCAGAAATGCGGGTTTTTTTGTTATCTGACTATATTTTTTCTTATCAACAGAATACTGTTAGAATTTGTCGTATTTAGATTGTCAGAATACTAGTCCTCTTACATTGATGTTGCAGTGTGGAGGGCGTTCGTTGCCAAAATTCCAGATATGTAAAGTAGTCCTTTTCAAATGACTTTTGAAAATGCGAACTTGTATGCCTACCATTTTTATTGTACCCGTGCATGCACATAATATGCCTCTTAATTCAATCATTTAATTGAAGGTTCCCACCTTTATATAACCAATTTACATGTGGATCGTAACAAATGACCTAACATGGAAAACGACAACAAATGTACAAGTTCGTATCTTCCATTGCATGCAATACATATGCATGTTTGCACACTTATAGATCTGAAATATACAAATGAAATGTAAATCCTTAATACAGAAAATAGAGTTTAAGAGAACGTATTACCAGTTGTAGAACTACAAGAGTACGTTAACACAGTAAACATGTTTTAAAATTACAAAAGTAGATTCACAAAGTTAAACGATTTTAAGTCAAGCATAACGCCCCGCCCCTCTCGGAGTATTTACGAACTTCTATTGCGGACAAGTATAAAACGGCGCCTCTCCCATATTTCTAAATACAACTGAAGGACAACATACGGCATTTTCATATATTTGTTACATTTGTTACAAAATTTTTGTCACTAGCAACATTACTTGAAAATTGCTGATTTTTACCATTTATGATGAGATAACTTAGGCATTAACTTTATTATTTAACATCGTGTTTCATTATCACTTACAAAGTTATTTATGCATTTTAGTGATATAGCCTGTCCGTGCTCTGCCTTAGTGCCCCTGTCCTGTGTATTTGTTTGGGGTCCGCCTGGGTCCTTGCCCACTTGTTCTTGTTGCTGGGTTCATGTGGGTTGCTTTCATTGAGCGCCACCTTTCCTTGGTTGATCTTGTTTATCATATATTCCTGAAGAAACCATCGGCGATTTGGAATCTTTTAGGGGAACAATGACCAACTTCAATCAACTTCATCACTTTGTTTCCAGATTGTTATACTTCACAACAGCAGGTGTCAAGTGCCGTGTGGCAGCTGTAAAAAGATGCCCCGTCACTTCACTTCAGTGTTGTTATATTTTTCTGGTCTTCGGTGGGATCATTGATGCCAACGCTATTAAGTGTCGAGAATTGAGTACCGTTCAAGCCGGTGCTAGGGATGTTGCACTTGTTCATTATCCATCATCGTACAGACTCAATCAACCGAGTCTTTAATTTTTATGTAATTTTGTTGTGATTAATGCTTTCGAGGGATCACTTTGTTTCCAGACTTTGTAATTTATTTGTTCAAAGCTTATGGTCTTAACTTATTTCATTCAATATTCTTTTTCTTTTTTAAATAAAGTATCTAAAGGAAGCAACGTGATTTTTTTAACATTTAATATATGAGTGTGGTTTTAAGAAGACAGGAAAAATAATCAACGATAAGTTTGAAAGAAAATTTTTAATACTTCTACGTAATTAAACTTTCATTTTTAAGGCATCACTAAGAAAGTTCATAAGGATTCTTTTACTTGAGTCCTAAAAATTATCAAAAAATTGACCAAGAAATAAAAAAAGTAAGTAGGGGGCGCCCACGCCATGTTTCTCCTTAACTGAATTTCAGAGTGTGTTTTGTTTTTTTTAACTTGGGGACGCAAATGCGGTTTTCATGGTAATGGTACGTTACGTGTCACATTGAAGCTTTCATGATAAATACGCCATAATACACAGTGCGGCATGTTTCAAAATTCAAAATTGTTACCAGTTTCAATGTTGAATTTTGCTTAAGCCGGTGCTAGGGGCGTGGACGGTAACTTCTCTTTCTATTATCTCGTGAACAGGTCCATCAAAACCGAGCCATGCAACATTTCTCACATTTTTGTCGTTTTGAGCGTTCTTTTAGGGATTCTTATTTTCTCTATTTTTTACAGAAAAAGTGAACATGATAAACTTTAAAACAAAAATTTCAATTCATATTTTGATTTTTAATTCATTTTTATTTTAGGCATATAATTATATAATCATAAACTCCGTATTGTGAGCACAATTTATTTCAATCCAAAATTTAGAGGGGAAATCGCCGCTGTTTTTCTTACCAATTCTCAGAGGAAAAATGATACATTTTTTAAACAAAAATTTCCAATTACATCCCTATGAATTCATTTTTATTTCCGAGGCACTCATGGGAAAGCTTATGGAGTAATCTTTCATTTGATACCCAAAATATTTGACTTTTTATAGAAATAAAAAAAAAGTTAGAATGGACGCCGTGTCTTCCTTTATTGAGAAATAGGAGAGAACGACGGGTATTATACCTGTCCATTACATTTCCGTAATGGAAGATCGTAAATACCCAGGAGAGGGGCGGGGCGTCATGCATGACTTAAAATTCGTTTAACTTTGTTAATCTACTTTTGTCAGATTTTAAACATGCTTTACTGTGTAAACGTACTGTTGTAGTTCTAGAGAGGGCGCGGACTGGAAAACACGTTTTACTTTAAAATATGTTTTCTGTATTCGAGTTTTACATTTCATTTATATTTTTTCAGGTACAGTAGAAATATCTCAAATGTGTAAACTGCTTTATGTATGTATATGCAATGGAAGATACGAACTTGTCAAAATTCTGTTGTTGTTTCTCCATGTTTAGGTCAATTGTTAGATTTGCATGTAAACTTGTTATTTAAAAGCGGGTACCTTTAATTAAAAAGATTGGGATTAAGAGGCATATCATTTGCTATGCACGAATACAATCAAAAAAGCTAGACATACATGTTCGCATTTTCAAAAGTAGTTTTCAAAAGGAACACATTACATATCTGGAATTTTGGCAACGATCGCCCTCCATATTGCAGAAGTACAATTTGACAACAATAGATAAATACAGAATCCCTAAAGAAAGCCCAACACGGCAAAATTGAAAATGTTGCAGGCTCGGTTTGATTGAGCCTGTTCATGGACGGTACTGGAAAGTGCAAGTTACCGTCCACGCCCCCTAGCACCGGCTTAAGCAGAATTCAACATTTAAACATGAATATAAAATTGAATTTAGAACATCCGCGATGTGTTCAACGCGTTATCATGGACCTTCAATGTGCACTTTCGTGCTTCCATTTAAAGCGGGGTATGGTCCCAATAATAAAAAGCGTGTGCCCTAAACGAGAAAACAATGGGCGGAACTAATAAAAAAGGAATTTGAAAAGGGGTCAAGGTTATGAAACCTGCTATCACAGATTAAGACGTCAAAAGACAAATTTAAAAAGCAGGCAACATATCCTTAGGGTGATTCAACATTATTCAAGTAGGAATATTGGAACCACCCAACTAGAGAATGCCGAAAAGTTGAAAAAGTTCGTTGATGTGGATATAAAAAAACACCTGCTTAATTGAATCTGAAATCTTAGGGCATTTCTATAAAATTGGCTCCACATGTTTCGTTTAAGGCAAATTTACTACTGTTTTCTTTTTATTTTCAAAAAAAATTGTCTTGATTGCCGGATTAATGTACTGCATTTTGAAGAACAATTTAATTTTTAACATAAAAAAGTAGGCGACAATATTAAAAGGGTATTAACGTTGTTCACGATGTATCAAAGCTTCATATACTATATATCAACCAACGTAAAAAGGGATAGAACAACCAAATTTAAGAGGATAATTCAAATTTTAACATGCCAAGATAAAGCTAGATTGAGCCAAGAAAATCTTTTTTATGACGTACAGTGGTCATTTTGGTGTGTAAGCATCTTTTTTTCTAATCATTTCATTATCGTGCCCAAAATTAAACCCTTAGATAAATGTGTTCCTTCTTATTTTATATAAGTGTCAGCGCGCCTTTAAAAAATATAATTTAACAATGAAGTCAGAGTTCCGACAAAAAATATAAGGACTGCTTGAACAGGCATTATGGGCGATTTTACGGACTGCTAAATTTGGCAGCGTGCAACCGCGAGACGCAAAATATTAAAAGTTTACTGCCAACAACTAGTTACCAAATTTTATTAGAAATTTTGTTATTTAAACAATAGTGACTTTCCATGTTCGTTGAGCGTTTACAATTCTGTTTGTTAGTAGAGTGCAGTATGATATGATAATTGTAGCGCACATTTAATTTATAAGTGCATTGCTAGTGACTTCCTAGTCAGCCCAAAAACATTAAAACGGACGCAAGACGAACGTTGATTCTAAAGATAATTGCTTTTCATTGCCTGTTGAATAATTTACAAAAAAGCTTGTATATAGAATATGGTAAACGAAGCTTCAATCCATAATGACAAGCAAGCCGACGATACAAAAATAAAGTGATGCAATTTGATCAGAATTCAAACTTTGATATTTCATAAAGGACTCTACAAATGTTTAAAAATGTAATTCAATCCGGATGTATTTTTGCCAGTCAGACTGGCGGTGTATCGGATAGATGGACAAACTGTTCTGCAGCTATGGTTCTAGCATGTGCTGCGATAGTACACTCACAGATTTCGTTATGTACAATTGTGCAAAGTTTTGTGGAAAATGTAAGTAAAATACCTAAAAATGTTTACTTAAATTCATTCATTTTTAGTATTGTATTTAACTTGTATTTCTTTATCAGTATTTGTCATAGTTAAGTCTTTAATCATTTTATTATTTGACTGATCACATAATCCACGGCACTGGAATAAAAAAAGCCATGCAATGAAAAACGATATTCATAAAAGTTTTAAAATTTTGATTTTCCAAAAAGGGAGGATAAAATTTTTT